CCATTCTATAGTCATTCCAAAAATAATATGCATGTATTAGGGACACTGTGTCATTTTATCCTTTGCTCTCTTACTGTGGTATATAATACTTACTAATTTGTGTGTGTTGAACCACCTTTACATCCCAAAGATAAACTCCACTTAATTGTAGTATGTGGTCCTTTGAACATGATGTTCAATTTGGATTGTTAGTGGTTTGTTGAGAATGTTTGTATCTATGCTTATCAAAGCTGTTGGCTTCTAATTTTCTTATGGTATCATATTCTGGCTATGGAATCAAGATAATGTTAGTCTCTTAAATAAGTTTGGAATTGCTTGATCTTTGATTTTTTAATAACTTGAGAATGATAGGGATAATTTATCTTTGAAAGTTTAGTAGAAATCACAAGGCAAACCATGAGGTCCTAAATATTTCTTGTCTGAATATAAACTCAATCTTCTAACTCACTATTGGTGTGTTCAGATTTCCTGTTTCTTAATTATTCAGACTTTCAAGTTTATGTCCTGAAAATTTATCTACTTCTAATTTATCCAATTTGTTAGCATATAGTTGACTCACAGACATCTGCTATGAATCATCGCATTTTTGTGGCATTAGTTGTAGTGTTGCCTCTTTCATTTCTGATTTTGTGTCCTTTTCTTCCTTTTTTGATTAGTCTAGCTAAAGACTTACCTATTTTGTGATCAAAAAAGCAACTCTGACTTTTGTTGATCTTTACTGTTTAACCTTCTATTTCAATTATTCCTGCTCTAATTTTATCACTGCCTTCTTTCTGCTATTCTTGGATTTAATGTATTCTTTATTTTACACATATTTGAAGTTCTTTTTCTCTTACAATATCTACTTACAAATTTACTTCTCAAAATTTATTTTGCTGCATCCTATACATTTTTATGTATCGAGGTTCTACTTTCATTTTTATTGTCTTTTTAATTTTTGTTGATCCTTTCATTTTTTTTTTTTTCCTTTTCAGCTCCTGGTTACCCAAGAGTGTGTTATTTGATTTCCACATATTTGTGAATTTTCTTCCTGTTACTGATTCTGAGTTTCATACCATGTGGTCAGATACAAAGACTGATATAATTCCAACCTCCTTGAGTCTATTAAGGTAAGGATGGGGAGAAGTCAAAATCCCTGGATACCACTGTTTATCCCTTCCCCCGGCCTTGTGCCTAAGGAATGAAAATTAAAAAGCTGAAGTTGTGACCTTGTGGCCCAACATGCTAAAAGTCCTCTTAAAGGGCTGGTTTTTGTCTCCCAACCAGCCTACAGACATAGTTCCCTAAGGAGTCACCTGTAGCATGTTATTATTACTTTTTAAGATCTATTTTTCTTTTTTTTTCTTTTTTTTTTTTTTTGGAAAGCCAGATACACAGATAGGAGAAGAGGCAGAGAAGAAGATATTTCATCCATCACTCCCCAGGTAGCCACATTGGCTGCAGCTGAGCCAGTCTGAAGCCAGGAGCCTGGAGCCTCTTCCGGGTCTCCCACATGGGTGCAGGGTCCCAAGGCTTTGGGCCATCCTTGACTGCTTTCTCAGGATACAAGTAGGGAGCTGGATGGAAATTAGGGCTGCTGGAATTAGAACTAGCACCCAAACAGGATCCCAGTGCATGCAAGGTGAGGACTCTGGCCACTAGGCTACTACACCAGATCCACATGTTATTATTTATAATAGGTATTTAACTAAATGACAGAGTTACTAAAAAAACTAGGGCACAATGCAAAACACATTGAGCCATTAAAAATCATTCCCAAGGCCAGTTCATACTAGGAAGAGATCTAAAAATTCACCTGCTATCACAATCTAGGTGAGAATTAATTATAAATTGTGCAGGTTTTAAATGTTCATACAGGGGTGACTAAATAATCCAAAAAAAAATTGTTGCTGCACAGTCCAGCACATCAGACATGTGCTAGAAATTTTAGATATGCCTAACACATGAAAATCAAACCAAAATAACTAATCAATACTATTGATAGAGCTATAAAATTACCCTTTGGGTAAATTTTTCTAGAAAGTCCTATTAAAAATGCTAAGAATTTACATGTTTAAAATATGTTAATATGAAAGCAACAAAAATATTATATCTTTACTTTTTAAAAATGAGTAGAAACAATTAAAATTATGTATAATTAAAAACTTCACCACTGAGTCACTAAAAAATGTACTGTGCATCAACTGACATGTAAGAAGCAATTCAATATAAATATGCCATTAACTACTGAAAGTAAGCTGTTGAAGCATAATTTCAAAATAAATCTATAATGACCAAAATATATCAATAAGAAGAAGTACATGTAACCAAGCATAAAAATAATCCTATACCTTCTTTCTCTATTTGCCTTTTGCATCACCAGAAAAAATTTCATTTTTATGGACTCAAATCAAGACATTTATGCTCTCATTTCTGTTTAAAAATATTTACTAGTTCTCCACAAATCAAAATTGGCCTAGCAAATACTTGTCATCAATGTTTTGGCACCAAGCTGTCTCCAATACCCACCTAACTCCCAGTCCTCATTCAAGAAAACACACACTTTCTGCTTCATGCCCAGTCCCAAGCACAGTAATTGTGTGTTCTTGTCTTTCCTCATATTCTCAGTCTTAAACCCTTTCTTCACTCCTTTATATCCACATACCTGAGTCCTACACTCAAGGCCAGGCCACCCAGCAAAACCCTAGTCAGCCAAACCAGAGTACCCACTACTGACAGCTATTGAGCATTCAGTCTTCTGTATACTTTGCCACTGTAGCTATCCTGCAAACAGTAAAAATATTTCATATTTCATTTCTTTCTATGTGTATACCTGTTACACAATAACTATATGGTCAGGTTAGTATCTTTCCACTCTAAGTACTCAACTGGCATCTGCTAAGTAAAAGGAACTCAATAGCAATGATGCAGTAAAATTAGAAGTTAGTTATTCTTTAATAATATAATGATGACTTTGACCAAAAAAGACTTTTGGATAGCTAATTTTTTCTTTAAAGGTTCTAAGTATTTGGAAGCCAAGATGGATGCGCTTGTTGATAAATTTTTCTTTCTATAGATACAATGAAGAATGTGCCATGGATATCATGCTTTTCCAACATGCACACAGAAGACACTCTCACTCCACGACGATTTATTGCAAATGCCTATTCATTTGTCAATCTGCATCAGTAACTCCTGATGTAAAAACAAAGGGAACATGTTTCATTTCTGAGTTCTATGCATACGCAGCCAACATAGTAAAACTCAGTCAACAACTGACTTAGCACCATGATTATCTAAAATAAACACAATTTTAAAATGATCTTTATGAGGCACATAAGTGTTAAGTAAACTTAATTTATGACTGTTTTTTCAAATAAAACATACGGCTAAAATTCTAAGGACTGAAGAGAAATCTTATGTGGACATTTATCTGCACATGAGCATGATTTTTATCTATCAGACATTTCACAAAAAAGTACAATTTTGGAGAGGTCAATGAGATAAAGACAGATTTTCCTACTTTCTGCTTATCTGTATTTGTTTTTTATTTTTTTTCAGCTATAAAACACTCATAACTTCCAGATTAACTCCTCCACACTGACACACACACCAGGAGTAAAATAATGAGAGTGAATGCATTTCTTTAAAGAATAGTTTACAGTAACTTAAAAGACAGCCGTCACTAGAGCATGAAAGAATATGGAGACTAAACAATAAGGTTTTGGAAATCTAACACAGAGATTTTGTTTTTATGGCTTAATTTTTAGAAACAATGCACAAACTTCTTCTTAATATTTCCCAACTTATTTCTTCTTTCATTAATGTGCTCATCACTCCTACATATTTAAGGAGATAACGACCCAAAGGCATATTACATTATTCAGAGTAAAAAGAGACGCTAAAATTTCTTCTCAAGACATTGGATAGAACAAGGAAAGCTTTTTATTAGATGGTCAATAAAAAGAAACAGTTCCAACTCCACAGTGACCTTCACTATAATTTACAAGTAAAGGGCTCATTGCTCCTAACAAAACTCTGAAAAAACCTAGGCATCAGACATCTATTATCCCATTTGCTACAGTGAAAAAAACTTGGTCTCTGCGCAAGATTTCAAGCCAAGTGATCTAAGCCTCAACTGCTTTTCCAGGCCATAAGTAGGCAGCTGGATGGAAAGTGGAGCAGCCAGGACATGAACCAGTACCCTCATGGGATCCTGGCACTTGCAAGTTGGGGATTTAGCCAAGGAGCCATCACATCGGGCCCAACAATGTGCACTTATGAAACAACAGAATAACACAGCTCTGACAAGTAATTAAATAATTATTCCTGCACCCACTATGTTGTCATTTTTTTTTTTAAAATATATTTAAAATGTAAATTATAAAAACACATTTTTTTTCCTTTCATGAATCAGGACTTGTCTTTGTTACTTTGCATTGTTTCTGAAATGCCTCTTTTTGACATCATCATTTCAGTACCTCACCAACATGAGAAAAGAGGTGCTTTTCCTACCTTTTATGCCATCTGGAAAGCCCGATCTATTTCATTCCTTCTCATAAATAGTAGATCTATGTGCAAGTCTCATGACAAAATACATCCTTAATTATTTGCCTCTGTCTGTGATTTTCTACTTCCTCTACTGTTCCACATCAAGCTCTTGTTTTCTATACATTGTTATCTGAATACATAACCTGACTAATAATTGCTGGAGAAAAAGAATATAGGATTAAATCCTTTTTAAAAAGGGGGGAGCAATACTTCTAATTCTAAAAGCAACCACACTCTAGTGACCTCTATATAAACTCAGTAAATCACAAAACCATTCCAAATTTTTATTAGCACAGTCATTTTAAAGAAAGAGGAGGAGAAAGGAGATAATTTTAGAAAGCCTTCCAGATGCATAGAAATTTCGAATTTATTAAAACCAGATAATTAATTTCAAACCATTTTCATACTTCCTTAACCTGAAGATCAAACGTTCACAAATAAAAAGAGCTGCAAAACAGCAATGCACTTACCTGGGGGTAAGGGGAAGTCCTGGATTTGGACTTTGAGCTGGAGAGCCGGGATTTGGCCCCCTTCCTGTTGTCAGTCAGGGTAGGTGTGGAGCTGCTGGCATAGGAGAAGGCTGGTTTGGAGGCTGAGATCTGATCCAGAGAAAGCTGTAGGCCTTTGTATTCCGTGTCTCTGTGGGATAGGAAGACAAAATCCTCAGTCAGCCACCAACGGAAATGGATCAATGCATTCTCTCATGAAGAAAAATAGTAATCCATATTTGAAAGGGAAGCAAACAAAAGTTAGCCATATAACTGGTTTTAAATACCTAATTTACTCCAGAATACTAATTTTTAATCAGTTTGTGTTAATGTAACTGCCACAGATATTAGCCAAACTACAAGATACTCCAATGTCTTGTTTTTAAAATGTATTTTAGGGCCTGGTAAGAGAGCCAAGTGGCCAAAGTCCTCATCTTGCATGAGCCAGGATCCCATATGGATGGCAGTTTGTGTCCCGGTTGCTCCTTTTCCCATCCAACTCCCTGCTTGTGGCCTCGGAAAGCAGTAGAGGATGGCCCAAGGCCTTGGGACCCTGCACCCGTGTGGGAGACCAGGAAGAGGCTCGGACTCCTGGCTTCAGATTGGCTCAGCTGCAGCCAATGCAGCCACTTAGCGAATGAACCAACAGAATAAAGAGCTTTCTGTGTCTCCTTCTCTCTGTATATCTGCCTTTCCAATAAAAATAAATCTCTCTTTAAAATGTGTTTTAATTACCTTTATTTGTTAAATAAGACCTGAACCCATAACTTATATTACTCAATTTCTTTCAGCTTTTGTATTCTCACTGATGAGATATGACATATGAAATTTACTCTAAAGGTGTTCCACATGGGGTGAACTCAGCGGACAGTGGTCAGCAGATGCTGTATGAATACTGTCAGCAAATATGTCTTCTACCATTTATTCTGAGGTCTGTCATTTTGTAAACTTTTCAAACATTCCTACAGCTATCTAACTGTGGAACAAGACTTACAAACAGTTAAAGAAAAATCTCTTTCAACAGGCTAGTTCAATCCCTTTAGGGTAGATTTTATCACCAGTTCTTTCCATTCCTTCTTTCACCCAATATACATTTATTGAACTCCTAATATATACCACATTTTGTGTTACATGGAGATGTAAGAATAAAAAAGACATCCAAAACCCTGCTCTTGCATAGAGATTATTTTATTAGAGAGTAAATAAACAATAAACAAAGATACACATGATTGCATTCAATGATGAAATGGATCAGGAGTCTTTTTGGAATTCCACTTCTTTTTTTTTTTTTAATTGATTGACTCGAAAGTCAAATTTACACAGAGGGAGAGACAGAGATCTATCTGCTGATTCACTCTCCAGTGGTCACAACAGCCAGTTCTAAACCCATCCAAAATCAAGAGTCTAGAGTATTTTTCAGATCTTCATGTGGATTCTAGGGCTCAAGCACTTGGGACATCTTCCATTGCTCTCCTAGGCACACTAGTAGGGATCTAAACTGGAAGCCAGGCAGATAGTCATAGAACTGGTGCCACCATGGGATACTAGCATCTTAGGCAATGGTCTCACTCACCTCACCACAATGCAGAGCTCAGAACTTGATTTCAGAGACACTGCTTGGCATACCTAGAAGCTAAAGATGAGAATCTTGACTCTACTCAGATACAGCCTCTCCCTCTTTTCCAGCAGCAGTAAATCTTGTCTAGCTCTTCAGTTTTCATGAAAGAACATGAACCCTTTCACTCCAAAGTTTCAGAGAGTCTTAGGAAGAATCATGGAAGAATTTTCTGTCAGTTTCCAGAACTAGTCAGGTTGCTTTTGGGCAACTGATTTCTTTTTAATCTCATGAACACTGAATCATATAACACACTACGTTATCTTCTTTGTGTGAGAAGTCAGAAAGTTCTAAGCTTTTTGTAATCACCTCTAACAAATGTTCAAAGTCTTCATGACAGATAATTTGTGACACTAACTCTAGTGCCTACCTTATTTTTATTATTTTTTCTTTCTTGAAATTCTCAAATAGGCTCACTTTTTAAAAGAACTGACATACTTTTTAATACTCTTTGGATTAATAAATATATATATAATTAAATTAATTAAATGATTAATATGTATGTTTGTGTGTGACAAGCACATTCAATGGATCTACAAATATTCATTTATCTTTCCCTGCTTTTAATATTTTTGTTTTCCATTTAAAAAAAACTAGGCAAAAGGAAAAACATGATTTGGTTTTTGAAAATTGTTGCAAGAGTAGATTTTAACAGTTCTCATCTTAAAAACAATGATAAATATATAACAATAATGCATATGTTCAATTTAGCCATTACACAATGTTTACCAAAATCTCCTATTGTATACCACTAATGTATCAGTTTTCATTTAGTAATTTAAAAAGGGAACATAGTATGATGCAGGTAACAAGTTCCTCAAGTGAGTGGGAGCAGTAGCCAATAAGATGATTCCAATATTAACACTGCCACAAACTATAGTGCAGTTAAACATATCCTCAAATTACAATGGCTTTGTATCAAATAGTTGGCTCCTTTATCCCCAGCTTCCACATCAGTGGATTCAACTCATTACAAATAAAAAATTTTCAGGGAAAAATATTGCACCTCTAGTGAACATGATTTTCCTCCCATTATTCCCTAACCAATGCAATTTTTTCCTTAGCATTTACATTGTACTGGGTTCTGAAAGTATCCTAAGGATAGTGTAAAGTATACAGGAAGATATTTACCATTTAGGTAAGGAACTTCCGCATCCTCATATTTTGATGCCTAAAGTAGACCCTACAACTGATTCCCCTTATACTGAGGGATGACTATAATCTACTCACTCAATGCAAATTTTTTTTATTGCATTTCATTTTATAACAACGTTTCATAGGCTCTGAGGTTCCCCCATCCCCTCGCCATGCCCTCCCCCCATGGTGGATTGCTCCACCTTATTGCAATATTGTAGTTCAAATCCAGTCTTGTTTCCTTCATTGCAAGCATGTGCCATGCATAGAGTCCAGTATCTTATTGCCCAACTGAATTCAACAGTTTCTTGGGGAGACCAATTCTGGTCTGAAGACATATCTGGCAGAATATCATTCTGACCAATTAAAAGCTATAACATAACATCAATAACAGTTTACAACATTATGGGGTTAATCAACATTGTATTGAGTGACTTATATGTTAGAAAATGCGAGTTCTTAACCACATCCTGTGACTACTCCATTAACATTTTAATTATAGTTTGTATACAACTGGCTTCTATCTACTTATATTGGCTATAGGATACTATTCAGCTGTCTCATGTCTATTTTCATTTTAGTATTTAGCAGTTTATTGTGTTGAAGCATAATTTTTACTGAACTTGGCAGATTTTAAGATAGTCTAAACTAGCTTATACCTTTAGCAAGGCATGTGACACCCGTTGAGGCATAGAACACTGTTGGAAGGGATGTACAGAGAAATCCTCCATACCCTAGTTAGGAATTGTTTATTTTCGTGTCCTACCTAGTAAGGTATGACTCAATGCAATTGTTTAAAATATTCTACATACCTAAAAACTTAGCAATCAATATGGCAACTTGTTTTCCAAGTCGCATCAAAAGTGTGTCATTAGTCTCTTCACACTCTACCAACTCCTTCTAATAATAATACAGGTTTGAACACTCATCATTCAGAAATTAGTTGCCCCCAAAATGTGGCCCCTGCCTTATGTTCATAACAATATTTCAATCTTTTCCTTCAGCAGGTCCTTACTTCTTCCAAATAGTTCTCCCCAAATAAACCTCACACTTTGTTGAGCTCTTTTCCTCCCTCAAACCATGACTATAAACTTCCTACAAAGAATCATCTGATATCCCCCTCGTGGCTCTGTAAAGCCCTCCTGACTGCTCATAGATCAGTTCCTGTTTGCTGAGTACCTCCTCCTTGTGGAGCCCTGTCCTAGAGACTGGGAGACATCAGTGAACAGAAGGGTCAAGTCACTGCCTCCTGTGAAGAAGACACCAGAACCAGTTCCTGAGAGAAGTTGGGAGAGATCCAGAAACTTTTTCTCCTCTAATCTTTTACAAATGACTATGTCTTGACCAAGTGCTCTCTAACTTCCAAAGAGTGAGTCAAGATGACACTGTTGTATTCCAAGGCTATTTGCACAATGTTACCACTGACAGAGGAGGAAGATGATAACAAGGATGCAATTAAGAAAGAATAATTTTCTCCAAAAGAATGTAAATAACTTGCAACCCAGCAAATAGTCTTTCTCTGTTGAAAAAAGACTTCAATGATCTGTGAATTCTCAGATTCACCAGCCCTGTGGCAGCAGGGAGTAGTCAAGCATTGAATGCTGACAGGAGGGGGGCCTCCACCCTTGGGTATCTCCTGTGTCAAATACTTTTTCTCTCTGTTCATCAGAGCATTTGTTCAATCCCTGTGTGGCGGAACCTAGACTAAGAATCAAAGTTGTGTTTCCCAGAAAATATGGTCAAACAGTTTTGTAATCCCATTCTTAATGAAACATTTCAGCACATGGATTTCATGGCTGTAAGTAGGGAGTAAACAAAGATTCATTTTTCTCTTACCCACTTTCAGATCCAAGACGTTGACAGTTCAACTACTGAAAAAGTTTTACAGAAAATGTTGCAAAGCTTCCAAGGGTAGACATACTCAAAAAAAATTTTTTTAAGTCAAATTTTAAATAATATTTTGAATAAATTTAAATAAGACACTAAATCAATAAATGGCTTAAAATTATACAAATCACATAAAGATTTTAATCAATATAAAAACGGTTCTACATATACTATCAATAAATTAATAAGATGTTGAAGTTTTATATATAAAAATATATAGGCAGGTTATTGATTTAATGGTTAGGAGATTTTGATTTAAGAGATTTGGGGTTTAAGTTTAAGTTCCATTCTTCACTCCAGCTTTCTCTACTAGTAGATAACATTAAAGGCAGCAGGCAATGGCACGAGTAGTTGGATCCCATCACATAAGAGACCCATATTGAATTCCTGCCACCCAGCTTCAACTTTGCCCTGCTTTAGTTAGTGAAAGAATTCAAGAGAGAAGCAGTAGACAGGAGATCTCTGTCTGTCTGCCTTTCAAATGAACTAAACTCTTATACATGTCAATGGGCATT